CCATCTCATCACTTATTAACTATCTGGTTTTTCCAACACTTAGCATTTATGGCAATAGTAAAAAAATTACTCTCTTATTTCGTGCATCAACTACTTAAATCTGACATGGTAGTCAGATGATTCTGTATCAACTAGACAGTCCTGGCTAGGGTGGAGTCAAACCTGTCAATCAGGTCCCAGCCTATTGGCGCCTCCTTACGGGCATGGCATTCTCAAAGGAGGGCTCTGGGAACCTCTTCTCTCTCTGTGACTCTCCCCGAGAACTGCTGGAGGCTAGCCATGCTTCCACTGATCTTGGATACACACGGATCTGCAGTCATTGCCCTGTGATCTTTCTGAATTCAACGTCATTGCATGTGGCTGCATGAGACTGGAAAGAATTATAGACTAGCTTGGACTTTCGGACTTGAGTTAGACAGAGTTCGGATGCTTCCTTGATATAAAGGTCTCTCTTATACATGCATGAGTGTCACTGGATTTGTTTCTCGAGTCAACCCGGCTTAACCCATGGCAGCAGCACAGAGGTGAGGTGTGAGGCCAGAGTAATGTATCCATGAGGGTTAAGGTTATGTGTCACCTTGGCAGAACCACAGTTCTCAGTGGTTTGGCAATTATAAACTCACTGCCATGGTGTCAATAGTGACACTATAGGGCAGGGTAGAACTGCCCCCTTGGGTTTCCAAGACTGTAACTTTTTATAGGCATAGAAAGCCCTGTCTTTCTCCCAAGGAGCGGTTGGTGGTTTCAAACTGCTGACCTTGCAGAGCACAGCCCAACATGTGACCACTTGGACACCAGGGCTCCCTAGAGCCAAAGCCCAGCATCTTTAAAAGAAAACATCTAAATCCAAACAATCAATGTATGTTTTCTAATGCTGACACGATAAATTGCCAAGAATTTAGAACATCCGAATAACAGGGATTTATTACACTGCAGTTCTGTTGGTGAAAATGAGCCCTGCTGGTATAGTGGTTAGGTGCTGGACTGCTAACTAGGTCAGTAGTTCAAAACCACCAGCTGTTCCTTTGGAGAAAAGGAGGGGATTTCTACTCTGTAAAGAGTTACAGTCTTGGAAACTCATGGGGGCAGTTCTACCCTGTCCAAGAGGATGGCTGTGAATCAGCACGTACTGGAGTTTGGTTTGGGTTTGGTGGTTGAAAAGTCCATAGCTTGGCTCGGTTGAGTTTTTAGAGCCTCATAAGCCTGAAATGAAGGGGTATTTGGTGTGGTTGTATTCTTTCCTGGAAGTTCTGAGCCTACATATTCTTCCAATCTACTTTAGAATATCAGCAAAAGTCAGCTCCTTGCAATTAAAGGACACCTGGCCCCATTTCCTTGCCGGCTATAAGCTGGGGGTGGATATGTGGTCTTGAGGCTGCTAGGATTCTTTTCATGCTTTCCATGTTATCTTACCATGGGCCCTCTCACACTTCGAATCTCTCCATTTCTCTATGACTCTGGTTATAGAAAACCCTGCTTTTAAGGGTTTATGTGATCAGATTGGGCTCAATCCACTATTTCATCAAAATGTTACTATCTTTAACCTTCCTATATCTACAAAAGGATCCCTAGTAGTACTAGGCTGCTAACAAAAAGTTTGTGGCTCAAACCTGTAGGTGTTCCTTGAGATGTGGCCATCTGCTTCTATAAAGATGTATAGTCTCAGAAACCCTGTGGGGGCAGACCTAGTCCGAATCTATTCTATTGAGTCTCAATGAGTCTGAATTAACTGGTGGCAGTGGTTTTTTTGTTGTTTTGGCTTAAGCTGGGGCGGATATGTGGTCTTGAGGCTGCTAGGATTCTTTTGGTTTACATCTACAAAGTCCTTTATACATATTCATAGGATGCTGTGGACATTTGGGGGGGGGGCTTTTATTCTGCCTACCACATTTGACATGTGATATTTGTAATATCTGGCAACCAATCAAAACTAAGAAGGAGGAAAATATGGTCCAAAACTATGAGGGAAACATTAGTTAATAACAAGCATATAAAGAAATGACAAAAAAAGAAAAAGAAGTAGCAGAGGTGATAGAATTAGCAGGAAAAGATTTTAAAATAGAAGCCCTGGTGGTGCCGTGGACTAGGTTGCTAAGCAAAAAGTCAGTGGTTCAAATCCATCAACTGCAACACAAGATTAAGATGAGGCTGTCTGCTTCTAAAAAGATTTAAAGTCTTGGAAATCCTATATAGGGTCACTGTGAGTTTAAATTGATGCAGTGGCAGTGGATTTGGTTTTGGTTATTGTAAATATACCCAATAATTTAAAGTTAAACATGAACACATTGAGGAAAGAAAGAGAAATAACCGTACCTTCTATTATTCAAAACCACAATATCTGAAATAGAATTTTGACTTAACGGATTTAGTAGTAAATTAAATATTGCAGGGGAAAAAAAACTCACTGCAGTGGTTAATATTATATGTCAATTTAGGTGGGCCATGATTATCAGTGGTTTGGCAGTCATAACATAATTTGACAGTTATGTACTATGTAGTTATCTTTCATTTTTTATGATCAGATATAATATAATCTCCACAACGAGATCTTTTATAATGTAATCAGTTACACGATGAGACCTGCTACAAACAGCAAGTAAAGTGAAAGGAAGGCTCCAGGGCGGTACAGGCTGCCCGAGTGAGTTCAAGTCTGTTACCAAGCGATCCGAGTGTAATTTCAATTTCAGAATATGAAGGAAGAGTACAGGAAAAATGGAAAAACACGAATTTTTCTACATATACTGAAAATATTAACCTTATAGGCAAGAAGTTTGACAAACTCAAACACAAGATGAACATCAAGATCAATCAAATTGAAAAAAAGAGGATAAAATCTTAAAAGCAGCCAGAGAAAAAAAAATAGATTAAAATATTGCATACAAGGAGAGAAATTAAAATATATGCTACTGATTTCTCATCACAAATAAGGTAAAGCCAAAGAACACGTAACAGCACCTTGAAAGAGCAGAGAAAAAACAAAACCTGTCATCCTATAATTCTAGGTCCTGGGAATATACCCATCATAAATAAAGATGAAATAACAATATTTTTTTCAAAACACAGAATCCAAAAAAAAGTGTTACCAGAAACATTGCTTTAGAAGAAGTGTTAAAAGAAGTTCTTCAAGGGAAGAAAAGTGATATCTGATGAAAACCTTGATGTACATAAAGAACACTAGAAACTCCAATACTAGAAATGGTAACTATGCTAGTACATACAAAAGTCACTCTATTCCCATCCCTCTACCCCCCCCACTATAGTCCCTTTCTCCTATTCTTTTTAAAATATATATAACATATTGGTTGAAGCAGAAAAATGCGAAAAACAAGTAAATATATAATAAGTAAAAGAGGAAACAAAATAACTAGTAATCAAAAGAAATTCATTAAAAGTAATAAAGGAAACAATGGACACATAGGCCAGAATGTTCATTAAAAGTGAGAATGGGGAGATTTTTCCCTTAAGTGCTTTGGACATGTCATCAGGAGGGAATCATGGTTGGAGGACCCACGAAATGGATGGACACCATGGCTGCAACAACGAGCCGCAGCGTGGCTGCAACAAAACTCGTGAGGATGCACAGCACCAGGCAGTGTTTTTCCTTGTGCTGTACTAAGAGCACTGTGAGTCACAGCTAAGTCTACTAGCAAAAAAGAAAAATTCGAACACATTACGTTTAGAGCAGTACTTCTCAAACCTTAACGAGCACAGGAATCATTTGGTGGTCTTGGATAGTAGATTCTGGAATTCTAAAATTATGGGGTTGGTTTCTGTACGACACAAAAGGACCTGATCACTTTTCTTAGGTGTTTTCTGGTTTATATCGAGTGCAAGTTTAATGCAGAAACCCTCAAGATAGGTGGAACTCATTCCTACCATCCATTCTTGAAAACTCGAGTGTATACTAAGGGCTCTGGTGGGAGAGTGAATTTCGGGGTGGAAAACCCCTTCTCTCTCCTGCGGGGAAAGATGAGACTTACTACTCCCATAAAGATTTACACTCTAGCAAGCCAACGGGGGTGGTCCTACCCTCTCCGGTAGGGTGCCCACGAGTGGACTTCATCTGGAGGGCAGTGCACATGGACTTGCAGCATAACTTCCTTTGTGCATTGGCCGCTAATGATGCTAAGGGAAATGCAGTGATGTCAGTCGCACCGAGATTGCAAAATAATAAACCAGTTTCTGGTTCCTCCTCTCCGGGGTGTTGTGAGAATTACAGTAGAAAATGGAAGTGAAAGCAATGCTTGAAATGTACCCTAAGGAAACACAATGGTTTAATATGGGCACGTGAAAATCTACTATTCGTAGTTTAAGAAAGGGGTGGGATCTAAAGATAAAGGGGTGGGGGAATCTGCAAGCCGATCCCTAATGGCGTGGTCGGAATCTACCACGTCCAGAAGGGCGGGGACCTATTTTCTAATGTAATCCGTCAAAGCAGAGTTGCTGTTTTAAAACTTATCCCTAAATCAAGAAATCTAAAATCCGAACTCCTCCTTTAGTAAGTAACTTAACTGAAACCTAACTCGACGTTGGTGATGTTAAGTTTGTAGCCGCCTCCCATTCTCAAAGTGCAACCCACGGACTGATTTCCCTTTTCCCTCGTCCCGTTCCCGCCCCGCCCCCTGAGCTCTCGCCCCGCCCCCAAGCTCCCGCCCGGGGCTGTAGTTTCCACTACGCCGACGGGGGAGGTGCTAACGGACCGGTCCATCGACGCATCTCGTGGAGGGGTGCGTGCAGAGCACACGCCAAACAAACGGTAAGAGACGTGAGCCGCGAAATGCGGACTCACAAGGAAGTCGAATTCGGACCCTTCCTGTCCGTGCGAGAGAAGCGACTCGGACGCGCAGCCCGCGAGCAAGCGTGCAGATTACCCAACTTCAAACTCAGAACCAACACCCGGACTACTGATCTGATTTATGGATCCTCCTAACTAGGGTGGCGGAGCTGCACTCGCGGCACCGCCCCCGCAGCGGCCGGAAACAATAGTGGAGGAACTCCATCCGCACGGAGCGTCGCGTTGGCGGACGGACGCGGAGCCGGACGGTAAGGACCCTGCTCCTTGGCGGGCCCCTTCCACGCCTGACAGCCCCTGCTTTCGCTCCCGCGGTCGTCGCGCCTAGAACCGCTTGGTCTTTCGCGCCGCCTCGCTCAGAGCACCCCGACGCGCAGAGACGGACCGTCCGGCGGACGAGGGGCCGGGGCTCCCCGGGCGGTCGACGCGCACCCCCGACGCCGGGGAGCGGACGGAGACCCGGCTCTGGAAGGGCTGGGGCCCGGCCGACTGCGGGCGCTCTCTCTCCTTCGGAGAAAGGCAGCCCGGCACCGGGACGCGGCGCCCCGCCGGCCGGGCTCGGGGCCGCGGGTGCTCCCGGCCCAGCCGGCCGTCGAGCGGCCCCCGCTCGCTGTCCACGTGCGTTTTCGTGCCGCCGGTAGAAAGCCTGCCCGCCCGGAGTTGGGGTAAGGTGTCCACCGTGAAGTCAGGCAGCGTCCCGAGGAGGTGGCTGCCGCATCGACAGCACGGAGCGTGTGGACAGGCCGGCATCGCCGCTGATGTCTTTTTGTGCCCGAGTGTTCTAGGTCGGGGGTGGAGCAGACCTATGGCCAAGCTGTAAGTTTTGCTAGCTCCGTCGTTCCACGACTTGCTCCTGTGGCAGTGGTCTGTTGCCGGACGTGCCCCATTGCACACCATCCTCTTTTCCTAGAAGTTCTTAATTCGGTAGTCACACGTTCTCACCGTTGCATAACAACTTCTTCTGTTTCTTAATAGGGGCACTATGAACGAAGAGGAGCAGTTTGTAAACATTGACTTGAATGATGACAATATTTGCAGTGTTTGTAAACTGGGAACAGACAAAGAAACGCTCTCCTTCTGCCACGTATGTTTTGAGCTAAATATTGAAGGTAAGGATACCTTATAGCTTAATGTTATGTCTTGTGCTTTGTACTCTTTTATTCTGAACTGATTACGGTAGAAGGTGAACTAGAAACCCAGAAATGTTTGACGCTTCTGTCAAGTATAAAATGCGAAGATATTTTGATAAGGGGTTCTTTTAAAAAAAATTTTCTTTCTTAATTTTTAATCGTTTTATTAGGGGCTCATACAACTCATCACAATCCATACATACATCAGTTGTGTAAAGCACATTTGTACATTTATTGCCATCATCATTCTCAAAATATTTGATCTCCACCTAAGCCCCTGATACCAGCTCATCCCCCCCCCCATGAACCCTTGATAATTTTTATAAATTATTATTTTGTCATATCTTTCCCTGTCCGACGTCTCCCTTCACCCACTTTTCTGTGTACATCCCCCAGGGAGGAGGTCACATGTAGATCCTTGTAATGATAAGGGGTTCTTGAAATGATGCTTATTTTATAGTAACTGCTGAAAATGAATTTAAGAGAATCTTGGTTTTTTTAAACACAAACCTTACTAACCCTATTTTTTTCTGATAAAAATGAGGCGGATTACTGATTGATAAATGTGTTTTCTGGATTAAGAGCTTGTTAGATTGTCAGATTTTACCAAACTATATATTTTAAATATTTTTAAATAAGCTTTTTACATTGGTACGCAAATGTAGTTTTATTCCTGTAGGTTTACCATGTATGTGTATTTATATATACAAAACCAGCCAAATACACATTTCTAATCTCAAAATTGTGATTCTGAACTCTTCCTACCCCCCAGTCCTACCTGGAAAATATTTTGAAAATTCCATAAAATTTCTTTTCAGTGATCACATGCACCTTTAATGCTGTCTTAAAACTAAAACACTTTTTTCCCCCTTGGTGATGTCTGATATATGCAAAAACATTCTCAATATTAAGAAAAGGTCTCTTATTGAAGGTATACATTTGTGTTGATGCTTTGTGTCTATAGATTGCTTCCATTAAACATATGTGACATACTTTTTAAATATTTATGTTATGCTAAAGTTCTAGTTGTTTGAAAAATATTTATAAGTAACTACCACACACACACCCAAAAGAAAAAACTTAATATTCCCCCAATAAAAGATTTGCATGCCATTTTAATTTTTAATTGTAGTGTATCAGTAATGAGATTTAGTAAGTCCTTGAATAATAGACAATTTCAAAACAGCTTTTCATTTGTTTTGGTTTAATTATATATTTGAGAGTTGCATTTTTTTACTATTATTTAATAAAAGATGAAGTGTGCATATAATTTTTTTAAGTTCCTTACTATTTCCTACTTAAGATTTGTGAGTCAGAAATGGTTGGTGTCACCAAGTTATTATGTTTTTAATTATTAGTCTAAAGCAAAAGTCAAAAGTAAAAGTTGAGTACTAATAATATATAGGGACATATGTATTGTCAGTGATGTGACATTCACTCTCCATTTAATATATTCACTGAAAATTTCACTCGTTTACTCTGGAATAATTGTAGTTACTGAACAATGATATGACGACAGAAACTTGTGTGGATTTCCTATGAGTTGCATGTAACTTTAATAAATACAAAAATTATGACTAATTTCAAAGGGATGCTTTTTAAAAATTGATTTCTTTTGTATTATTCAAATTTCCATATTTTGTATCATATTAGAGTAAAAGATTAAAATGTGTGCCTTTAGAAATAAATTTGACCCTACATATTCTAATGCAGACTGTAGAATTTTAGTTGTAGATGAACAACCAGAACAAATGCAAAGACAATAGAAATTATTACGCCTAACCCTTCTATGTTACATTTTAGGAAACATAGCCAGATAGTTGGATTACTCAAAGCTTCCCTGGTTGTGAAAACAAGCTGTTGATATGGCCAAAAGAAAAAAATTACTCTGCCATTGAGTCGGTTCGGACTCATACCAGCCCTAAAAGACAGTAGAATGGCCCATGTGACTTCCCCAGGCTTATAATTTCTTATGGAAGTAGAAAGCCGTCATCTTCCTTGCATTACATGCCAGGCATAGTATTTATTCTGAACTCTTGTCCTAGGCCCTGTACTAAGCTCCTTACATGAATTGTTTTATTTAACTTAAAATAACTTTGGAATAGCTATTATTCTCATAGTGAGCATGGAGGAACAGAAAAAGGCACTTTGGGGTCACACACAACATGTGATAAAAAATTGACAGTGCGGGGCTGTAATGCGTGGCAGTGTGATTCTGTTGTATGTGGTCTTAGTTTCATTGATCTACCCATTCGTTATATTAATTGATAGGACTAATATTACGAACCTGGGGTTCCTGAGTCTTAATTGCCTGTCTTTTCTATTCTGTCAGTCAACTTCTGATCAGTACTGCTACTGGCTAAATCATTACTGGGGTTCAAGCTATAATAGGATTTTTCCTCCCAAACCTAAAGCTTCATGTTTACTTTCTTAACCTTTTAATGAATTCTCAATCATGTAGAAAATTCACAAACATATTTGTATGTCATCTTTACATAATTTCTGCTTTTCTAACACCTATATAAATATATATAGTTGACATAATTCTTGCGTTGGTGAAATAATGCTTGTTTCAATTTTAAAAGCAAAAAAATTCTCTTTGAATTTGTACTTTTCTTGAGTATTATATATACACTCCCAAAATGCCATTTTAACCATTGCCGTACAAACCAAACTGATGGCCACGGAGCCCTCATTGACTCATGGCAACTCTAGATAGGGCTTCTGAAGCAGAAACCTTTGTGGGAGCAGAGAGCCTCAACTTTTTCACACAGAGCAATAGGCGGGGTGAACAACCAGCCTGGTGGTGAGTAGTCCCACTCTCACCTGACAGGGCCACCAGAACTCCTGATTTAGCCTTGGTGAGTATGATTCTAGTGTTCATTTTCTTTTCAAGTTCTCTGACATCAGTTCTCAACTCTGCCAATTATGATACATTTTTTATTTGCTGCAGTGATAAATCCATGTAATGAAACCATCAAATATACTGTGGGGGGGAAGAGCCATAAATTTACCAAAAAATCAATTTTTTCCATCAGGCTATGTATATTTTTTTAGTTTATTAATCAGTGAACAATTGTGATAATATGTTAGTCCTGTCTTCTCTACCCCAGTGCCAGCTAACTGCTCTGACTCCTAGCTACCCTATAGGACAAAGTAGAACAGCCCCATAAGGATTACCCGGTGGTGGTATTTATGGAAGCAAACTGCCACATCTTTTCCCACAGAGCCGCTCCTGGGTTCTAACCCCCCACTTCTTGATTCGCTATGTCTACTTTAACCTCTGCACTACTTAGGCTCCTTATAAAATGATTACACACCAGAAAAATAACAAGATAGCGTCTTTGATTACTTGGGTCAGTACACCTTTGTAAATGTGTTTTGAAATTTTCTTTCTCCCATCAATTGCTCAGCACAGTGTGATTCACTAAATGTTAGAACCAAAAAGGATCCGAGGGGAGGGGACACATTTAACTTTATTAGTTTGATGTCATTTTATTGGTTGTGCCTTAGTTTACTAATGGATAAATTTGTTCTAAAGCATCCTGCTTGACTAATTGTTAAATTTGCTCTAAAGCATTCTGCTTGTCTTTTTTCCTTCGAAAAATTTAGTAAAAATACATTTCTTTAATTGATAAATCATAAGAGATGTGATAGTTCTTGAGTTCACACTTTTGTAGTAATTAAAAATAACACTTTGGATTGTTGCTTACATCAGATTAAAACTGGTCTAATCAACTAGCCTCTTATTTGAAAGTTGCTTGTGCCTAAAGTTGTAAAATGAAAACAACGGAAAAAGAAGAAAAATAAAAGGGAGTCTAATCTTGGTGGAGAAATTCTGAATTACAGGTGTAACTAAATTGCCTTTAATCTGTGATTTACACTCATTAAAAGGAAAATGATGCTTATATACTACCTAGTCACAGATTATTTACATCAAGGACATAAGAAAAGCACTTTGAGGACTCAAATCTTTTGTTCACAAGATTGATTTTTTTCCTCCTCTATCTTTTAATTCATCATTAGAAGAGCATGTCAGTTTCTAGAATTAAAAAACAGCAAGAGCTTCCTATTCCTTATGGCCTGCCCTTGGCCCCAAGACTCTCTAAATTTTTTCGTAGAAAATACACATTTTATTCTTGTGCTACAATCTCTGAACTTCAATTGAATTGCCATCATTCCCTAAACTACTAAGGCTAAAGAAGATAGCCCAGCATGATTCGGATCCACTAATGTAACAAAGTCAAAAGTGAGAGTAGAGAGAGTAAAAAAATACAGCCTTTGATTTATGTGATGCTATTATTTCAACTGGTCTGTTTTCATTTTGTGGGAAAGTATTGTACAGTTTTGGGGTTGTTTTTTTTACGAATGTAAGACTGGGCCAGTTCCATGCCAAAGTTTTCAGTTTAATTTTGACTTTGCTAGTCGGTGAGCAAACATAGGTGTAGCTATTTTCAGTGTAGTTCATCTCAGATCTCTACTTTCTGGAAGCAGACTCCCAAATACAGTAGTTCATCCCACCTCCATGGCTACAGAGAGTATAGATTTTGTGAGAATTTGAAATTCTGCTGTGCATTTTCCCCTTTTGATGATGATTCTTCTAAAGAATCTCTGATCAAAATGTTCAAGAATGGTAGCTGAGCACCATCCAGTTCTCTGTTCTCCTGGCCAAGGGAGATAGTTGTTTATGGTGGCAAAAATTTCATTTCCTCCTCCTCTTGATTCTCCTCCCCCTATTGCTTCAGGCAGGTAGAGATGCTTAGAAGCCTTTAAGACCCCAGACAATGCTCAACAAGTAAATTGAAGAACAGAAACACAAGTGTGTTCGTTAGGCTAGTTATCTGCGGTGGTCTGTGAAACCATGACCCTAAACTGCAAACTAAAAATAACAAATCCCATGAGAGGCTCAATTGTACATAAGTAGCCTCAGCAGCTACTCTGTTCATTGCCTATTTAATGCCAATTTAAATAAATGTTAA